ATATTCATTTCAACTTACTTTTTATTATAATTAAACAAAAAAATTATTATTATTATTTCTTAAAAAACACTATTCATCAACTAACATATTTCTAACTAACAATATTATCAATTATTATTTCAGTGTTTCTAATCAACTTTACTCGTTACATTCTTATCTCATATCCATTCACTCTCAAATTTATCTATTTTTTTCTAAAATCAACTTTTCTACTTTTCCATACATTTTGTTTTTTAAAAATTCTTATATCCAACCGCACCATTTATAGGATATGTATTGTCAAAAAGCTTACAAAATACTTGAAACTAATATTCGACTTATGTAAATAAAGTATTAGAAGTTATTTGTATGCATATAACATTAAAATTATAAGTTAGATAATGGTGTTATATTTTAAACAGAATATTATAAGTTATACTTATGCATATAATATTAAAATTATAAGTTAGATAATGGTATTACGTTTTAAAATTTGATCATTTGCTAAAATAAATAGTACATAAGGATTTGATAGTATATTCACTATATTGATTGCATAAAATGTAATAAATAATGTAATTTGTGTAATTTTAAGGGATAATTACCAATTAATTAGCAGAAAAATATTAAATTACTGTAACAATTGGTTATGCGATTTTATGAATTTTACTATGACATTAAAGCAAATTAATTTATTTAAAAAACAATCGCTTAATTAGACAAAAAAAATATAAAATATTAATTTTAGAATAAATAACTTGAACAAAAAGTTTTTACAATATAAATTTTTATGTTTATGTACCTTACATATATCATTTAGTGTAAAATATAATTATTAATTTCAATAGTAACTATTATATGATACAATAAAAAATATAATCATTACTCAATTAACATAAAATCTAACGGTTTTTGTTTTATTTAAAAAAAAGAAAGTGCAAGGAAATAGGGTGGATTAATGTAATAACAACAATAATAATAATAATAATAATAATAATAATAATAATAATAATAATAATAAAAAAAAAACTTGGATTGTAACGGTTATTTGAGAAAAAATACCAAATATGTAAAGTTAATGTAGTTTTATTTGATGATCTGCCATCATTTATATGTATATATAGATAAATAAAGCAATCACCCACCCACCATATTCTAACCAAAGTTCAATCATTCCAAAACAGGTAAAATGTGAAGAAAATACAAAGTAACTCAACAGTTCCTTCACTAAATTTAAGCCTCAAATATTAGGTATCACCAAAGTTCAATCATTCGAAAATAGGTAAAATGTGAAGAAAATACACAAGTAACACAACAGTTCCTTCACTAAATTTAAGCCTCAAATATTAGGTATCACAAATTACTCATAAGAATCTACCCAACAAAATGCATGTTACCTTTAATGCATTACAAAATTAGTCATTGAAATTTATGAAACGAAAGACATGTAGGTAATGCATTAAGAAATTATTCATTACAATTTACCAAATAAACAAAATGCATGTTACCTTTAATGCATTACAAAATTACTCATAGAAATTTACCAAACGNTTACCTTCCAAAATATACTCATCAAAATTAACGTAAAAGAAACTGCTATCTCCGATTCATATCCATTATTTCAATATTTATTAACCAATTATTAAATTCATTATTTCAATATTTATTAACCAATTATTAAATTTTCATATTTGACGTGGCACCTATTGGGTTTTATTAAAACAATTCTACTTACTAAATGATATTTACGGCCAAATGAAGCATAGAATCACGTGCATTGTCGTATATTAGTTACCAGTAAATATAAAATAGAAAGGGTTGTTTAACTTTTGAGGATACATGCATATCTATGTTGATGGATCCTTTAGCATTTTTACATCACATCTTCTAAGCCCTTATGGTCACGACCTCATAAATGTATTAAGGCCATTATCAAACTTTAAAAAATTACCAAGAAACATAGAATAATAGCAAACCAGTACAAAAAGTACAAACCTGAGTACCACTATATACCAAGTTATAGGTTATGAATTCACAAAATAAGACAACAATTAGGAAAAAAAACATCTTCGTGGCCTGCGAGCACATAAATTTATGTACTGGCAACTTAGTATTAAAAAAACAGATAGTCATGCTCTTGTTCACACAACATTTGAACATTTGCAAACTCACTTTTTAAAAAAAGCTGGTATGGCATGTTTGGATGTATCTAACTACAATCTTATTTTAGAAGGGATGACCCTCCACAAAGTGTTTAAATAAAGAATATGTGATTATTGGATCATCTTATTCTTAGACAATATTGCGAACTGTTTTTTTTTTTTTTATTTTTTTTTTTTTTTTTTCTTTTAACTTTAGCTAGCTTGTACTCAACATTGAGTGGTGTGGTGGTTGCACCTCTTGTCTTGCCTACCCCAACTTGTTTGGGACTAAAAGGCTATGTAGTAACTTTAGCTAGCTTGTTTTTCAAAAATAAACTTCACAGTTCGGTTTGGTTACTTACTGACATTTCTCCAGTTTTCTATTATTTTCTACATCATAGATTATGAGCAATGTCTACCAATATTGTAAGGATTTAAAAGTCATATTGAACTACAACCTGATTCATAATATTTGAAACTTGTGGAAGATCAAATAATAACAAAACTTTTCGAGAAATTAACAAATTCATGTCACATCTGTCATACAATGTGGCACTTCTTAAATTCAAATACAAAGCTTCATGGTTTTATATATTTATCATATAGGCAGTAATATTGTAAATTAACATTTTAGTCATTTCAAATGAGGATAAAAAAACTCTATATACAATAAGATGGCAAATGTTTGAACATTAGATTATTAACTAAGATAGATGCAACCCTAACTAATTTCCCAATAATTTAAACAGGTACAATTCTTAGTAACACAGAGAAGGGGACAAGTCAAATACATAACCACGTTCCATAGCATACAAACAACAATATGAAGATATCAGAGAGAATAATAACATAAACATAGGAGTCGAAGTTATAAATTGATAAGGTATGCAAACCTGTACATATATTATTCGCCAATCCTGTAAGATCTTCCCAAGCTTACGTCGTTGCCATGCAGTATTAGTGCAAAGGAGTTTAAGCAAACTGATTAACAACTGCATTCCAAAACAAGTGATTTTACAGGTTTAAGTTCTAAACAACCAAGACAAGTGAGAAACTATTCTATACAAGAAAGGAAAGCTAACATCATGTCATATTGCAAGGGAAACCAAATGATGACAGCATTAGTTACGTACTGATTATAGTAAAGCTGACTTCTCACAGTATTATTGCCCTTAATTCGGTTTCAATATGCAGAGATATGTTTAGTATTAGGAATATATCTAAAACTTTACCTGCCCCAGTTGTGCAACAGTTTCGTTCTTCTGTATGTCGTGATTCTTTGCTCCATCAGATAGTAGTGCAGCTTTGCAAACAACACCAAACACGGATTCACGTCCATAAAGTTTCCCATCTTGTACCAGCAGCAACTGTTGATTATTTAACCGAATGAGATTCATTATGGACGACATTAATCTTATACTAGTACAACAACACTCGTGTAATTCAAGGGAGTCATTGAAAAAAATGATACTAAAAAAATTAAAAAATCAAAAATAGATTCATTCAAATTTTGAAGCAATTTTTTTTTAAAATTACGTTATTTACAGTTTAAGTTAATCAAGTGTTTTATAATTTTATTAGAAGTTTCTAGTAGGCATGGATAAAAGTCCAAAACAACTTCGAATCATAAAAAAATGACATAGATTACGAATCACTAGAAATTGATACATGGGATTGCGAAGTATCAGAATTTCACAATGAGGCTCGGGAAACTCTGCATTTTTATTGGAGGAGGATTATTAAAAAATATCATAATAAAAGAACACTACAAAATAGTGGGTACCATCATAAAGAGAGGCGAAGAAATAAGCATCAGTAAATGATATAATATATAGATAACACAAATCTTTTATTTCATTAAATATTATAACCACAAAATTTATCATTCATCGTTCACTTATTTCAAGCTACCAATTATCTTCAATTAAAGGACTTTCATCAAATATCAAGTTACAATTGAAAATTTCATCTTTCTTTCACAAATTTCAAAATGAACTACATTAAATGACACCTCAAAGTACAGATGGAACTATACAAAGTATCATCTTTGTTAGAGTGTGCGCACACGCATGAGAAACATAGAATGTTAAATAACTAAGGATGGAAAACATAAAACTTCTTCATTTCTAAGGCACGCATAAAAAAACCTTTAATACTCCATGGTTGGGTTACTTGTGGATTGAAAAATATCCACCATGAGTTATAATGAGAATCATTGCATTTACCCAAAATGCAAGAAATTTAATCAAAGCATGCTAAATAGTATACACAGCCAAAATTGTTGAGCATATTGAACTAAAAAAATATGTCATAATTCAAATTCAACACGTTATCTAATTTATGGTTACAGAAGGCATGACCAGCTCGCCACATCCCGGGGCCATCAACTAAATCGTAGCTTCATCAGCATAGATAAGTGGATTATAGCAAGATAGTCAAAATCTGCATATCTGTAGGTTCTTTCAATATGAATCTTAATCGTACAAAGAGACAAAACAAAATGGTCCAAAAATGTAGCAGATTTTTACTTCAAAGAGAGAGTTTTGATGTGAGTATGCTTGACTCTTCTCACAAAACCTAAACAATTGCATTTCTATAATGCAAGCGTTAAGGGATTGGGTACAAGTTAGGATGCTGGGAGTGAATATGTTACGTTTAACAAGCCTTATTGAACTCCAATCTCATATTTCACATGGCTCCTTGACATTATTTATCTTCAATGAAATGTAATTAAACAATTGAACCCTAAAAGTTCAAACTTCAAATATACCATAAAAACTTTTTTTATTGGATTTTTGGTTAAAATATTTGCTGGATCACCATTAACACTTCTTCTAATTTTACATTAGCTGACCAAAGATTTTAAAAGTTTCAGGAGGCTAGATCAGCAATACATTATCATAAAAAATATCCACAGTCGCATTCAGCATTCAATCACATAAAAAATTTACATGTCCCACTCCTTCCCCATATCATCCTACACATGAAGTATTTTTTTACCAAATATTATGGGTGTTCAAATCCTATTCCTAACACTTACAGAGCAATTAATTTTCTTTGACTCAACCATTTTATCCTTCACTCTTAATTCTGAATCTCTCAAATCAACCTTCACACAGATTTAATAGCAACGACGGCGTGCAATAGTAATCATATAATCTCACTTCAATTTGCTCGCAATATTTTGCTCGTTTCTCGTCAAACATATATATGCCCCATATTAATCATTTTTCATCTCTATTCTTAGGAAGCAAAATGAAATCTTTACGTCAAATCTGGAATCAGATACTAAGAATCTATTGGAGTATGAAACACAAACAGATCGAGGGTTGCACCTGGAGATAAGCTCGAGCGACCAGATCTGGTTGAAACTTCTGGAAGTCAACCAAAGAGCGCAAAGCACCTTCAAGGATAGTGTCCAACGAGTACGAGCATACAATTTCTAGATCGTGAAGAAGCTTCTGGAAATAATGAACTGCCTGTTACAAGAAAGATAAGAGAGTCCCGTTAATTTCCAATAATGTAAATTACAATCTCAAAGTTCCTTGAAACTGACCTTTTTCCAGCTCAGTAGTTTAATTGAGCGAGGTGGAGTTGGTGCTGCTGATCTACTGTTTAAAGTAGGATCAAAGCCAATGGGTTGACAGCCAGAAGCAGTTGTTTTAACTTCTACTTCATACTCTAAAGTTTCAGATGCATATGTTTTCCTCAGAAATTCTTCTGATTTAAGCATGTCATCAAGCTCAGTTAGGCAGGAGTTAATATGCTTCTTAGCAAGCTCTAAGCCTTTGCCTTGAGGTCTCCTCATGCACGTCAACGCATGGTAAAAGTGCTGAGCACAAATAAACCCAAATGTTAAACTGGAAAAATGATGGCCATCACATACTCGGTAATTCGTACATGGATTTCTAAATGGTGAGATTGGCATCTAAGAAGCGATAAATTTTTTCTTATGTAATCATCAAGATCACCGCCATCATCATATTACTCAAAGTAGTTGGATTGGAAACCGTGCACTTGTCTTTTTGAAGTGAGGTGCAAGAAAGCAAATGGCAGTATATAACAAAGAATGTAAGGTTTATAAAATAAGCATGTAAAAGGTCATTAATGGATACAAAATGAAGAAAATGAGATTTATAACATATATATGCATCAAATCAGACTACAGACATTCATAATCAAAGAGTACAAAAGAAATGAATGACCTGATTCATTCATCTCTTCATACTAATTCTAAGCATTCATTACTTAATAGGTTTTGAATCCTAAAGAAGTAGCATTATCTAATAATCATCACCAATGATCTCATCAAATCCATATTCTCTCATCCTCATCATATCCATCAATATTCTCATGATCACTTCCCCTGTACTCTTATTGCTTTTGTAAGGGGCTCAAATTTAAAAGGTTCACTGTCTAATAGTCCCCAGAAGACTTGGGCCCAAACTCTTACTTTAAGAAGTACCAGGATTAGACCCATCTAAAAACAGCCGACTCTTAAAGAAGAAAAGAAAAGGAAATCCCTGATGAAAAAAGACGGCTTCATTGTGCCTTGAGCATGTGTAAGTGCCTTAGAGGCTAACTTCGATTATTTCCTAACATTGTATAGCAGTACAGAGCATTGATGTTTACATAGTTTCGGGGGTTAGAATATACTTTATACACTTAACAGTATCCATGAAAATCCATAAGAATCTTGTCCATGTGGTTTATTTGGATTTGTCAAAAAATAAAAAATGATAATGCATTTAGTTAATTGACGAACCTAATCAAACTGTTCTCCAATTCTATAGGTTGATGTCTATGAAGTTGATAACCTTCAATATCCAATATTCGTCCCCAATTTAAAATATTGCAGTTCTCTCTTAAGTTAGAACCAACAACAACCTAAGAAGGACAGCAACATGAGAAACAACCAAAGGTTGCATTTAGGTTCAACAAGGATGAAGAAAAGTGGGAGTAAAAACAACATGCATTATTTATATCAGACAACTACTCCTTCCGTGCTCAATAAAATACCTGTAAGAAATGTTCAGATCTCTAAGGTTTACTTAATACTTGTCCAGTGTCCCCACAGTTACACTGCAACTTTCCCCTCCTTTTCTTTGCGACTTTTTAGGTTCTGTCCCTAGTAATCCTTTTAGTTAAGGGGTATATCAATTTTATGTTTAGCTGTTTAGAATGTATCATTCATTGAAGTGCATTTCCAATCTTAAAATGAGAAAGGAATAAGAAATTTGGTGCAGAAAAATTGAATGAAATATCATTAGCGGGACTTCAGCAAATAAATATGACAGCATACACACATGCTCAGGCAGATTTCTGCACATCCTTTTCATCTAAGATATGCTGGAGAGAGTAAAGAGCATGTTACAGTTTGATAATTTGGTTATTTTATCAGATTAGCAAAATTGATCCACTTTTCCACAAGTGAATCAGTAATAATTATTTCAATATTTTTTTATTGCTACGCTATGAGAACTTGGATATATTTAAGTACTATGCAGTTAAAATGTCATTACCTTTTCGGAATAGATGATGGATACATTCCAAGTAGATAAGGAAACATTTGTGGTGTGTGAGTAGGGTAAGTGATGCTTGGCCAATCCAACCAGTGATTACAGCTATTGGACAAAATTCAAAACTCAAGTTTTAAGATATTTTCAATGTGTAAAAAGCCAAATACTTGATGTAAAGCCACCATATAAATTACTAGAACAAGAGACATACTGTAGAGAGCACATTAGTTTTGAAAACATTCGTACAAGAAACTCCTGACCTAATACACAGCCAAAATAAATAAATTTGATATTTATGCAAGAAAAATAATAAAGAATAATACAAGTAAGACCTTACGAAAGCGTAAGCGGCATACTATGGCTTTGCAAAATCCTTCTTCAAACTTCAGATTAGATTGTAGTGGTTCCACATCTGCACAAACAAGTTCATAGAGATCATTGTAATCTATATATACAAATGTGTGAACGACATAACAGAATTGAGTGAAAAAAGGAAAGATATCCAGGCAAAGGTCCTAGGACCCAACTGAAAGGTTTTTCCTCACTAATTCATATCGAAGTTCACAGGTCACCATACAAATAGAAATGGAATGCAAATATAAAATGTGCAATTTATAGGTTTCCTGAACTAAAATATCCACCTAAACATAAATAATGAACTACAGAAAACATATAAATGTATATTGATGGGTTCGACATGGCATCTGTCAAGGAGACGACAAAATCATGAGTGCAGTCGATAAATGGATCAAGAATACAAAAACGTCCCATCACTTCCATGCAATACAAGCTATAAGCAAGATGATTTACATCATAGGATAAGAAACTGAGTCCATAGTTATTTCTTATATCATCAAAGCAAACTCAATTTTTTAGATTTTTTAATATCAACCCAATCTCAGTAATTCTGAGAGACAATGGAATTGACAGAATAATATGTAAAAAGTACGGCCAACTATTTTTTTCAATATATTATAATAATTTGGCTTGTCAACCCAATTATCGATTGAAGCCTGGAGTCCGGCAGGTTGATATGAGGTTCTCTCATGTTTTCAATAAAATACATGTAGGAGATACTCAGAAACAGATAATTTGTATAAACCATGAGCTACCAGGCATCCCGCAAGAACTTTTCCCCTTCCCAATTTCCCAATTGACTTTGTAATGCTTGGACACCTTTACAAGAGTAATGTTAATTTGTTCTTTGTTTATGATACAAGAGGAGAAACAGCAGAAACAAAGATGTCCTATATGTACTAAATTTCCAATAATGGAGTTCAAGTGTCATTGAGTCGATTATGAAATTACATGTGATAGTTTCGAGCAAACGACGTCAAATGCCGTACGAAATATCTATCTGCAGAAAAGTTAGCTTCAATAAATCATGCTGAATTAGGTTTGTACATGAATGCAAGATGTGTACCTTCTGCAACTCTCTTTCCAGACAATGGTGCTTTACAAGCTTTTAGTTGCCTAGAAACTGTTTCTTCCACAGCATGTAGTATCGACAAGCATTTTTCATCTCCATCAATCTTTAGTGGTAGACCATAAGCCATAATGAAAAGATCTTCTTCCTGTACAACCATGCGTTGTTAGTCAAAATATAGGTGGCCAATATAAGATACTTCAAAGTTCAAACGGAAGAAAACAAATATATGATGCAAGGAATAAAGTACGGTTTTAGCATTCAGAATGCATCCCAAGGGTTTTTGATGTGATTTTCCGCTAAACTCAGTCCAGGTGGTCATAAGAAGCCAAGAGTAACAAAACATGAAAATAACAATGAACTGAGCCTCGTGACTGTTTTAACACATAGACAGCATAGTCAATGGCAACTGTCATTAGTGACCACAAGTATTATACCATCCATTACACTCGAAAGATAAAACATCAACCTTGAAGTAGACAGCTCACAAGCTAGACAGTATCTATCAACTAAAACTGCTATCTTCAACAAATATAAATGCATGTGTGTGTGTGTGTGTAAAATATATATCCGTGTGTGTAAGGTTACTGAAAATAGGGGCACCCAATGCTAATATTAAATCATAGCCAACACATTCTCGGAGGGGACTCTTTGTGAACAGTGATAATTACCAATTTATTGCTCAACAGAAACCAACATAATGTAAGGAAATTTGCGAAACTAGAAATGTAGGAAATCTAGACATGAAAGTAAATGAATCCAAGTAATTTTATACTGCTGTTAGTGCATTTGATTTCACAGAAGTTAATAACGTAATGGAAAAATTGCCACTCGATGTATGAGCAAGTAAAAGGTGACTAGTATTTATTTTTGAAAATGGGAAAATATTGGCACACACTATATGGGTGTTAGTGCTTTTCTTTAGAAAGGCATGTCACCAACTCCATTCCCCATATACACATTTTCTCTATAGATGTGCTCAGAAGTAATGACCAGTCTATGATACTGTCGGCACAACTCTAACCTCTCAGAAAAATTAAATAAAAAAGTGTAAGAAAAAAAGAACTTAATCTCATTTGCAATTTCATCTGTGACAGCTGCTCTTCAAGAATCAAACAAACTAATTTCTATGAAACAGTTCAGTTCATTTTCAGTTACACCTTTAGATGATGAGACAACAGCTATGATTTCATTCTTTATATATCTGTAAAAGTATATGTTGTAGTACTTCCTCCAAAGCATACTAAAAATTACAATGTAAGATACTGTCGCATAATTTCATCTAAATGAAAAGGGTGAGATTCATTGGAAGTACATTACTTCATTTGCGCGTGTATCTGCAACAACTGAAAGAACGGCATTGCAAGTCGCACGAATAACTTGGCAGAAGCAATGTAGCAGAGCATGAGATGATGTTCTATCAGGCCTCAAAAGGTAAATGCAAGAAAAAACTGTTTGAGCTAATGACCCTCCTTTATGCCATGTCGCCTGCAGTAGAAATAACAAACAAGTTAGAAAGGGATTTTGTTTTACCTCCAAGGGTTACAACTAAGATGCTATCAGAAGGTTGTACTGGCAGTACCTCGCAAGCTAGCAGATGATCCATTACATCAATAATGCGTTGAGTATCTACTGTTCTATCGAAGCTCAATGGAACAGGAGCAGCACCATTATCAATGGCTTCCTCAACAGAGTAATAAGTAGTAACAATACCTGAATCCATCTTTGGGTCCATTATCTAGTTAAGATGGATAAATTTCCTCAGTAAAAGCATGGAGGCAGAATTAATGAGAAAAAGCTATAAAGAATGATTTATATGGTTGTGTCAAAGCGTGCATAGCATAGTGGTTCTAATGTACATACTTCCTGCAATCATACATGTATTGAGAGAAGAAACATTGACAAATTCATTGACCATCAAATTCACATGCAGAGACAGTGCAACATATAAAATTCACATGAAAGTTGAATAGAAATGATTAAAACATTGGCTAAGTTTCTTTTTACATAAAAAGAATGTACGGAATAGATAAACAAATGAAGCACAAAATAAGTACATGAGAAAACTCTTTTAGGGGAAAATAAAAGGAAGAACCATGTATAGACATGCTCGGCATTTTATTCACCTAATAATGGACAACTATTAACACATTAATTTTCGTTCACCTAAACTCTAATTGATCTTCACCTTTGTCATATTTGCAGAGCAGCATAAAATTTGATACACGTCTCTCAACAGAAAAACAGCATTACCTCTAAAGCAGACATGGCAGAGAAGAGATTAAAATTCTCCCCGGTTATGAGCTCATCATTTCGAAGATCTGTGAAAAATTGCATTAAAATAATTATTTACCCTATTGTGCTCTATCTAAGAAACAACAGCAGACGGGATACTTTCTAAAATCAGAATTTAAGTCTAGCATGAAAGGAAACTGCATCAGCATTTTCACAGCACTAAAATTGAGCAAGTTACAATCTGCACTCCAACAATGGAGAAAACAAATACTACCCCAAATTAAAATCTATAATTTGTTTCAGTTTCAGGAAAGATCTTAATATTCTAATATAAGAGTTTAAAATGAAAGTCACACAGTACCAACTTTTTACATGCAAAGAACACTGAGATGATCTTAATTTCGCAGGGAAAATATAAGAAAAAACATGCACTATTACAAATTCCACAACAGAAAGTTCACTTAAAAATTTCTTTGGTTCTTCCAATTTTCGAAATTTATCCATACTCCAACAATGACTCATTATGAAATGAAGAAGGCAGTAGAGCCCATTTTCATGAATGTCGACATTTACTCTAACTATAAAAGGGGGTTGTTAGATTTATATAGTCAGGGGAAGAGGTTCTGTCCCACAAGGGTGAGGCGCACCATAAGGAAAACGGTGAGCCTAGTTGTCACCCTAGTGAGGTTCTATCGGCAAAACCAATTGGTGATGGGAGGAGTAGTCTACTAAACCTATAAACTAGGTTCATTTACCCTATAAATTCAATGTGGGACAACTCACAAGTGATATTCCAACACGCTCCCTCACTTGTGAGTCCTTCATAGGCTCAAGCCCACAGCAGGCCGGGTAGATTAAATCATCGCAAGTCATAGATCAGGCCCGCTCGGATGCCATGTTAGATTATAGTCGGTGGAAGAGGTGTGGTCCCACAAGGGTGGAGCGCACCATAAGAAGGGGTGAGCATAGTTGTCACATTAATGAAGTTTCATCCCAAAACCAATTGGTGATGGGAGAAACGTCCCACTAGGCTTGAATCAATGTGGGACAACTCACAAGAGATATTTCAACAAGCGTTTTACATGGAAAAAGGCATTGACATCGTACAATCAAACCAACAAGATATGTTGCAGAGACTTGCAATCACTATAAACCTAAAATACATATCAGATTCCCTAAAGGATTAGCTTATAAATCTGCAATGATTTCTTCATGCACAAAAAATAATCAAAGAACATATTAGGAGTTGTACTGTTCACTTTCATTCTATTCAATACAGTCGTAATTCTTTTCTCTCTTCATCTCTATTCTCTTTGTTCATGTGTTCTTGAAACGATTATGAATCTTATCATGAGATGAGATATATACTTTATAGTGCATGTAACTTGCAAACGATGTGTATTGTGTCATTGGCTAAAACTAAACTAAGAATCAATTTACGTAGTTGAAAGATCTAGCCGCTTTGACTTAATATCCTACCACTCTTTTAAAATGTACTAGTGAAGCTAGCTCATGCCTCACGGGAACAAACACTGGCTTGCCAAGATTCTGTAAAAGAGATGACTCCTAACTCTCAAATAATTTGGGCTCAAAGAGTGTATTCCGTACTTAGAGCCACGGGCTTGTTTGCACCACCCCGCTAAAGGGGCGGTTTGTGGTGGGATTTTTTACGCCCGTCAAGGATCGGGCCACGTGCCAAGGTGGAGCAGGGTAGGCCACGGGCCAGTCGCCCTAATTAAAAATAATAATTTAACTAATATCTCTCTTAAGTTTTACCTCATAAGAGTAAGCCAGACTACTAGTTGTGCCCACACACAACTCAAGTTATATGA